GGGGGTTGTATTTAAAATGAAAGTTCATTGGAGTAAAATGGGAGCTGGAAGCGTAGTGGCTTTTCATTGGCTGAGCCCTGACAACCCCTCAATGGCGGGGGGAGGAGGAAACTTTCCTTCCTCCTGCGGGGTTAGTTCGGTAGTACCCTCCTGCAAGGTGCGTGTCTCCTTGTTGGGCCTGCAGCGGAGCGGGAGTGGGACGGGGTGAGAGCAACCCCTGCAGGCCTCCAGACTCCATCTAAGTGAGGTCTGCTTTTATTCATGTCCACACCCTGTATCTGAAGATCTGCCACCCTGCCTGTCAGGAATCCAAGGGGACCTCTCCAGGACACGGGTCCCCTGCTCTGATGGGTGTGAGACACACTGCTGCCAGGAGGCCTGGGGCTGGACCCAGCCCATAACCCAGTGAGGGGGCTCATGCTCACCCTGGGGCCCCAGGCTGCCCGGGGTCTTCCCTGCTGTCATGCGGGACTTAAGGGAACTCCCCCCCACAAGTGTGGACCCCTATCTCGAGCTCAGCCATTGGTGTCTTTCCGTCCAGGCCCCCAGGGCTTACACACACACACGCACACACGCACTCCTTCCTTTGCAAGGGGGTGGACAGTCCCAGGGGGGCAAATTTGAATGGAAGATGGTACTTCGGAGACCTGTATCCTCCCTAGTCATTCAAAAAGTAGCGTGTGCGCATGCTCTGCAATCCCTGGCTTTATCCAGGTCATCTTTTTCTGATTCGGGACACAAAGAGCTTCTTCATCCCTTTATATGGCTGCAGAGCACCCCTGCAAAATTATTTTCAGTTTGGGGAGGGAGATAGATTTCTAATGAGATAATAAATGACACGTACCATGTACCCCCCCCTCCCCGTGGTTCTCCCAAGGGGAGCCCCAGTGTAACACTGGCGCCCCAGACATCTGGAGGTCCAACCAAGGAACCCCTCAGCAGGGGCACGGGGTGGGAGTAGGTGTCTGGGAGGCAGCGCCCAGGGACCCTCCAGGGCCCCAGGCGGAGGGGGCGCGGCCAGGTGGGCGGGGTGCGTGGCGGGACTGGAGCCTCAGCCTCCCAGATGCCCTGACCTGCGCGTGCACGTGGAAGCCCGAGCTTAGTGGCAGTTTAATGAGACACACAGGTGTTTACGTGCAGAAGGAGAGGAACCAATTAGACACAGACGCGCCATCTGCTCCAGCAACCCCACTCCTGAGCGCGTCCCCGCAGAAGTGCAGGCAGGGACTTGAACGGATACGCGCAGGTCGTTCACACCGCAAGTCGCCGCAGCCCGAAGGCACCGGGCACCAGCCGTCCCAGCGCCCCTCCGCAGGCGAGCGGAGAAACAAAACGTAGCGGATCCACAAAATGGAATGTTATTCAGCCTTAAAAGGGAGGGGAGATCCGTCACACGCCACAGCATGGGTGGGCCTGAAGGCGTTATGTGAGTGAAATAAGCCAGTCACAAGAGGGCACATCTGTGTTTCACTTCTGTGAGGTCCCAAGGGTCATCAGGTTCAGAGACAGCAGGTGGAAGGGTGGTGCCAGGGCCTGGGGGATGGGAGCTAGTGTTTCATGGGCAGAGCGTCAGTTAGGAAAGGTGGAAAAGTTCTGGAGGTGGATGGTGGGGAAGGCGTCACAACAGAGGCGCGGGGGGTGGGCGGCACATCTGCCAGAACTGTGCCAGCTACCAGGGACCCTCGGTCACCCTCCACCGTGGGGCTTCCAGGGAAAGGGAGGATGAGACTCTCCAGGGTTGATGTGGATGGAGACAAGGGTGTCCGAGGACTAGAGAAAATGAAGGCCAGGGGTGCCTGGGGTGCAGATGTGTGTCAGGGAGTGGGGGGGAGCAGGCTGACCGAATGAACAATGCGTGCCTGCATAGTCCCTGAAGGGACTAATGGATGCGCTTCTGAGACCCTGAGTTTCCTCACAGGTTCCTGGTGTGAGTGGGGGTGCAGGGCAGTGTACCCTCCAAGACCACCCGGAGCCTGCTCCCAGTGGCCAGCCCCCCCTGTCTGCTTGTTTCTCAGTGCTGGATTCCAGGGAAGAACACGGGGCTTGTGCCCCCTGGCAAGCCCCAGGAACAGCCTGCCTGGGCAAGAGAGCAGCAGGGAGAGAGAGACCCCAGGAGGGACCCCCTCATGACTCCCTGCCCACAGGGGTGACAGGGTCTGGACTCTGCTCTAAGAAGGAAGCCCCTTCCTCTGCTCCCAGAGACCGAGAGGGTCAGCTGCAGAGAGAGTGGGAAAGAGCCCAGAGCAGAGAGATGCACGTGAGGACCAGCATGGGTACAGCCCACATCTGCCCCCAAAAGCCCCATTTCCCCAGGTCTGTGTACTGCAGGTGGGGACAGATGCCCTTCCTGTCCCCACAGATGCTAGACCTTTGCCCCTCAGAAACATTGTTCACCTTTCCCCAGGTCTGGATCTGATTCAACTTGGTGACCCCAGAGGCCCACGTGGGGCGGATGAGGGGGTACAGAACAGGAACTCAAAGCTCGGGACAGAACAGCACAGTTACCCAGGGAAAGCAGGGCCCTGCCCCACCCCCACCATCTCCTCCTCTGCCAGCGTGAGAGCAAATACGGATGGCCGGGGTGCCCTGTCCACGACTGGCATGAGGTCTGAGCCCAAGGCTGCTCCTGCCAGGAAGAGCAAGGTGACCCACTAGATTCACTTGGCTGGAGGGAGGCCAGGCCTGGGGGTGGGGGGAACTCCAGACCAGCCACGGCCACAGGGCCACCCACTGGAACCAGCCCAGCCACACTGGGCAGCACAGGCAAGACTGGGTCCTTGCTATGCAGGGGTCTGCGGGTCGGGAGTAGGGGGCCCCGGGCCTGCCTCTGGATATGGGCATGGCTAAGGGGGAGGGCTCTGAGCCCAGGGCACAGGCCATTTAGCATGCAAGCTCTAACATGGGCCTCAGCTGCCATGGGGCCGGCAGCCCTGAGCCCTGGCCCTGGCCCTGGGGGTGTCTAAGGGAGCCAAGTCCCTGCACTGGGGTCTGCAGGAGGCACCCCTGTCCTGGAAGCCTGGGGTCAAGGAAGTGCCGCTAATGGGCATGTTTTGGGACCAGAACGTTTGAAAAGGCCTGGGTGGGGAGAAGGCTGAGTGCACACACACATCCCGACCTGAGGGCTGGGGGGTCCCAGGGATGCAGGTGTCTGCCAACAAGGTGTTGGGGAAGGGGCCAAGCTCCCCCAGCATCGACAGTCCTCATGTACACGAGTCGGCCACCAGCCCTGGGCTGGCTGTGTGCTGCATCTGCAGGGTCAGGACTGGACCCGCTCCTTCCCTAGACGGGGCAGGGGACAGCGCAAGTGCCTGCAGCAGAGGGGAGGGATGGCCGGCAGGGCTGAAGCTGGGCCGTAGCTCCTGGTCCGTAGGGCAGGGCTCTAACATCGCCCTGGGGGGCTGCTGAGGGGCAACAATGTTTCAATCAGTGAAGTAAATGGGGCTGTTATTATCCCCAGAGGCTTCTCACAACAAGCTCTGGCCTGCAGGGGCGAGGGGGGGGGCGCAGGTGGCAGGGGGCACCCCTGCTCCCTAATAGTTCTGGGACCGCCCCCGGGGCCCTCCTGGGAGCAGCTCTGGGTCTGCTGCGGTGGCTGGGGCGCGGCGGGGGTGGGGGCGTCCAGGGCCATGAGCACCCAACAGATGGAGCCGGTCTGAAAAGTGACTTTGGCCCTTTGTGGGGAAGGGCTGTGGGGAAGGGCTGGGGGCAGCCTCCTCGGGAAACTGAGGGTGGCTCTGGGGTAGGCGAGGGTGCACGGCTCCCTAGGAATTCAGGCGGGACAGCACCTCTTGGTGGCTGAGGCTTCAGAGAAGGGTCCTCACAGCCAGCCCTGAGGGGACCGAGCCAGGTACCATCCTAAAGGCTGGCAGGCACTGGCTCCTGATGGCCAAGACATCGTGTGAGGATCCTGAGGCCCAGAGGCCCAAGAGGGGGCTGGTCCCGGACGCAGAGGGGGAAAAGGAGCCAGGCACCAGGCCCAGCCAGTCTCACCCCAGAGCCACCTCTCACCTCTGCTACAGGTGGCCCCAGAGAATGTCCCACGCACCTGCTGACAGTCAGGGAAATGACCCCCGGCACGCCAAGGGAGGGGCCCAGGCACTGAGGCACGCGCACAAGTAGCAGTCGGGCTTGCACTCCGGGGCCAGGTCCAACCCAGCCCCCTGCCCCCGCCCCCACTTTCCCATTGCCCCCGGGAAGGGGGAAGGGGCTCTCAATACTCCTTCAGGTCTGTGGCCTGCAGAGGAGGAGGGGTGTCCCCAGAGAGAGAGCTGGGGGGCTGCCAAGCTGGCTAGAGGGTAGGAGCCAGGAAGCCAGGCCCCAGAGGCTCAGTCGCAGGAAGCTTCCCCACTCCTCCACCGGCCTGTTCCCCGGGCAGGGGTACGCCCAAGTCAGGGAAGATAGGGCCCGGGATGGGTGGTGGCTGGAAGGAGCTCTGAGGTGAGGGGAGGAGCCACGCGGATGCAGGCAGGAAGAGCACACTCCAGGCAGAGGGCATGACCAGGACAACAGCCTGAAGTGGGAACGAGCTCTGGAAGGACAGTGAGGCTGACTCGGGGTTGCAGGTGACAGGTGAGCGACGGGCAGCTGAAGGATCCAGGACGACAAGCTCCTGTGGCCAAGTGGCCTGGGCCTGGTGTCCACAGGCTCCAGAGGCGGACGGGTGTTGTCCGGCGCTGCCCCAGCCCGGGCCCAGGTTCGCTGGCCGCAGTGCTCACGCCTGCAAGCCGGGCCAGGGCGGAGCGGCACAGGTGGACAGGAGGCCCCCACAATGACTTCCTGTCCCCCAGGCCCCTGAAGTCAGGGAGGGAAAGGGCCGTCCCTGGCCTGATGCCTGGCACTGGGGCCGGTATGAGGCCCATTGTTTGAGGCTGGAGCTGGGGTGGGGGGAGCTGGGGCCCAGGGGCCTCCAGGAAGCCCCCGGAATGCCCTCTGTCCCACTTCCCACAGATCCAGAGCCTGAGCAAGAACCGGAGCGAGCAGACCCAGCAGCCCCCAGCAGGATGAAGGCACCCGCAGCTCTCCTGCTGGCCCTGCTGCTTTGTGGGCAGCCAGGTACCCGGGCAAGGGGGCACCCCTGCAGCGAGAGGGGACAGCACAGTCTGGGCCCACGGGGACCCTCGGGACACCCAGCCTGGGGGCAGGACACGGCATGGGGTGCAGGGGGGTCAGGCTGGAGTCTGAGGCTGGAGGGACGTGGACGTGGGCTGTCCTGGGCTCCCGCAGGTTCCCAAACCTACCCCTCCCCAGCGACAGGCCCCACCTCTTTGAAATGCAGGCTTCGGGTTACCTCTTCTGTCCCGGCCTCCGTGTCGTCTTCTGTCAAACAGGCGGGCCATCCTGACGGTTTACTGGGGCGGTGGAGGGGGGAGGCAGCTACTGCAAAGGGGCCCCCACAGCAGCTGATGGTGCTGGGAAGCAAGCAGCGCCAGCAGCTGGGGGCCCACGGGGAGGACCGAGTGGGGAGGAAGGGGATGGAGGAGTGTCGAAGGACAGATGGAAGGGGTGGGGCCCAGCACTGGGTCTGGAGTATGTGTGCTCCGTGCCCGGGAACTGGGGGGTTACAGGCATCCCTGCGTGGCCAGGCACCGGGCGGGCGCAGGACGAGGAGGAGGAGGAGCACGCGGACGTCGGCCCGGAGGGCTATGATGACGACGATGACGAGGAGGGGCAGGAGGCCAGTGTGGCTGCAGGTGGCAAGGGCAGAGGGGACCGTCCACCCCACCCGAGGGCACAGGCACCCATCCCTCTCTCGCAACACTGTGTGGGGGCTCCGCTGAGCGCCAGGCTCAGTGCGGGGCTGGCATGATGCAGAACAACAGGCAAAGCCTTCCAGGGGGCAGGGGAGGGGAGAGAAAGGGCCCTGACACTCAGCACCCCCGCTCACCTCACCCTGGCTGTGACCCTCGATGGCCATCCGGAGTAGGGAGCCTAGAGAAGGAACCACTCCCGGGCAGGGAGGCTGAATAGGAGTTCACTAGGCAGAGAGGGGTGCAGCGGAGTCCCTGCCGGGATAGACCAGCAAGTGTAGAGGCCCTGGGCATGGAGTCCAGCTCAGCCAGACAGGATGGTGGGGTGCTGGCAGGGCAGGGCAGAGCTGACCAGTCCTGAGGAGGGGTGCAGGGAGGCTTGGGCAGAGGCTTATGGAGGGATCAGCTGGCAACAGAGCACAAGTCTGTAGGGGGAGGCTCTGGGCTGCAGGGGGAGGCACTGGGCCTGTAGGGGGAGGCTCTGGGCTGCAGGGGGAGGCACTGGGCCTGTAGGGGGAGGCGCTGGCCTGCAGGGGGAGGCTCTGGGCCTGCAGGGGGAGGCGCTGGGCTGCAGGGGGAGGCGCTGGGCCTGCAGGGGGAGGCTCTGGGCCTGCAGGGGGAGGCGCTGGGCCTGCAGGGGGAGGCGCTGGGCCTGCAGGGGGAGGCCCCTTGGCCTGAGTCCTCTTGCCTCCCAGGGCTACTGCAGTGTTATGCCTGCCAGTCCCTGTACAGGGGGGAGCACTGCAAGCAAGTTCAGAACTGCGTCCACGGCCACAGCTTCTGCAAAGCCATCATGTCCCACGGGAACACGGGTGAGCAGGCCCCGCAGTGGCCAGGGCAGGAGGTGCCCCATCTCCCATGCAGAAAGGCGTGCACCCCCGTGAGGGGCCTCCTCCCTGCCCCAGCCTGTCCAGCGTGACAAAGCCTTTCTCCCCCGCCCCTCCTCCCTCCCAGAGTCGGGTCCTCTGACCACCTACTCTGCATGGTGTGCAGACACGTGTCAGCCCATCACCAAGACACTGGAGGGGACCCTGATGACCCTGACCTGCTGCCAGTCCACCCTCTGCAACATCCCACCCTGGCAGGAGCCCCCAGGCAGCGGAGCCGGTAGCCCCCAGGGCAGCCCCACGATGGTGGCCGCCACTCTCCTGCTCAGCCTCCTTCCCGGCCTTCAGGCCATGGGGTCCTGAAGGGGTGGTCCCACCCCCACCCCACTCACACCCTGGATGGCCAGCACTCTGTCCAGTGCCTTACCCACCTGGCTCCCCACCCCAGCTCTGATGAATAAACTTGGAACACCTTTAGTGATCCGGCCAACACTGCCCCGTCTGCATTTCCTATTTCCTGGCTGTCTGGCATCTTTGGCCTCCTCTCCCCACCGCCTGTGCCAGCACATTGACCCCAGGTCCAGGCCGCGACTGCTCAGGGCGCGGGTCCGCACAGCTGGGTAGAGAAAACACGCATCCTATGCCAGGCGGAGTCAGCCACATTCTCTCCCCTCCCCTCCCCCCAAGACTGTTGCCTGGGTTCCTGAGAAGAGGACTGGGCAGTGGGAGGGCTTGGGGAAGGGAACCCAGGGGTGCCCAGGGCCCACTCTGGTCAGGCCGGCACCACTGGGTGCTGGGGGCTCTCTGCCTTCCTGGCTGGTGACAAGACAGAGCCCTGGGATAGGAGGAAGGAGGCCTGGGTCTGGGCCTCAGGTTCCCCATCAGAGCAGCAGGGAACAAGGCTCAGAGGACCCCTCAATCCCCACCAGCCCAGCAGCCCCTGGGTAGGGAAGCCCAGAGTCCTATGCTGCCTGTCAAGCAGCTGCAGCAGGTGGGGTAGCCTCCCACTCTCTGCTTCCTTCTTTCCTTAGTAAAGAAAACCTCAAGGCCTAGCTGGGGGGCAAATCCCTGGGGTAGAGACAGGTCTGTCTTCTTCTCCTTCCTCCTTCCTGCCGGCTGCAGTGATGTCTGCGGCTCAGCAGCCGCTTCGCACCATGAGGCAGCACACTGGGATGGCAGGGCAGCAAGGAGGAAGGGCAGAGATCATGGTGACCAGGAGCCATTATACCAGCCCCACACTGCCTGCCTCGGTACCCCTTTCCTTGGGAGGGAAATAAATGGCTGCAGAGTTGAAGTGAGTCATTTCTCTGTCCCTTCTTCTTCACACACTGTCACACACACACGCTCCTGCAGGTACATACGCTCTCATGTTACTCCCGCCGGTGCACGCACTTGTGGTCACACACGCTCTCCCACATAGATAAAAGCCGAGCTCGGGGCTCACCCTGTCTGGGTTAAAATGTTAGTTAAGCCCTTGCCCCAGCTCCACGACCCGCATGAACGCCATGCCCCACCAGCTCCGTGACCCAGACGAACCTCTTCACCTCCCCTGCAACACCCGCCCCAAGTGGGTTTCCTTGTCTGCCACGTGGCAGGGTAGGGGGGCCCTCCTGGGAGGACCAGCCTCAGTGAAGACTGACAAGCACTGCAGGGGAAGAGCACCAGGCCTGAGCCAGAGGTTGGGAGAGGCCGGATGAGGACCAAGACCCAGCTGGACCACCAGGCCAAGGCCAGTCTGATGTACCAGGGACGGTCAGGACGTTCTAGGCCAGTCCCGGGAAGGAACTGCCGGAAATCAGGAGGTGGTACCTCAGGGCTGCTCCCTCTCATCCAGCCTGGGCAGCACCTCTGCACCCACCTGTACAGCGGGCCAGGGCGTGTGTCCAGCTGGATCCCTGCCTCCATGTCTCATGACTGCCATGACACGTGACCACACAGTGGCTCACAACAGCTCAAACGGTCCCGAAACTCAGAAGTCTGAAATGAAGGGCTTTGTTCCTTCCGGAGCCTGTGATGGTGCATTTTCTGTGTCAGCCTGACTGGGTCGAGAGAGGCCCAGATGATTTCTGGGTGTGTCTGGGAGGGGGTTTCCAAAGACATTAGCATTCGGGTACAAAGATGACAAAGATGGCCCCTGCCAACGCACCCCAACCACTGAGGGCCCAAACGGAACAACAAGGCAGAAAGGGCAAATTCACCCTCTGGAGCTGGACCTCCATCCTCTCCTGCCCTGAGACGCTGGAGCTCCTCGTTCTGAGGCCTTCAGACTCCAGTGAATCCCACCCTCGGCCTTCCTGGGGCTCCAGCTTGCGGACGGCAGGTACAGGACCTCTCGGCCTCCACAGCCACGTGAGCCAATCCCTGTGCTTGCACTCACAGAGCCCGCTGTACATCCGCCTGGCTCCGCGTCTCTGGAACTCTGGCCCCTCACCACCATCTGCCTCAAATCTCCCGCCACCTCCCTCTTATTAAGGCCTTTGTGGTGACATGGGGCCACCACCCAATCGAGGACAATCTCTCATCCCAAGACCTTCAACCCCATCACATCACCCCTTTGCCACATGAGGCCACACATCTCCAGGCTCCAGGGATTAGGACCTGGATGTTAGCCAGTCATTACTGGGCGTCGCCCACCACCCAACGTCAGAGACCCCAGCCGTAGCACATCTGGCCGTGTGCCGGGTCTTGGACCCAAGGAGGGTAAGCTCACTGGTCACAGGGGCCACAGCCCAGAAGTCAGGCGTGGCTCTCAGCCCCCACGTGGCCTCTAGCAATGCTCCTGCCATCCAGACACAATTCAGATGCCCTTGCCTTTGCCACTACTAGATTCAGCTTCCTAGAGAGCTGGGATTTTTAAGGTGGAGTCTATGATGGGTGGGTGGGGGAGGGGAGAAAGACAACCCATCCAGTGAATGGACGGGCTCCCCCACGCTGCCTCCATGGGCATGGCCTCCCTGTGCCTGGAAGCTATGGTCACCCTCAGCCTGTGGTGGCAGAGTTGCCTGGGCTGAAGTGCCTCGAGGCAGGCAGTCCCCCAAGTCACACACACCCTTCCTTCTACCCAATGCGCCAGTGCCCACACACCACTGTGCCCGGCGCCCTGTGGTCCCCCGGCTGTCGCAGAGCTGGACGTGGTGCCTGATTCCAACTCATGGGACAAATTCTAACCACACCTCCCTCCCTCCAAGCTCTGACCAGCTGGGGACACAGGCACACAGACACATGGGGATCTAAGACCTCCCAAGGAAGATGCAACTGAGGATGCAGGGCCCCAGGCTGGGGGGTGAGGGTGGGGGATGGTGCAGGCAGATCCCAGGAACTGCAGGAGAGACAGAGGCAGAGCCAGAGGGTGACAGGCCTCCCCAGAAGCCACTCCCCCTGGAAAGGTCGCTCAACCTCCCTTGGAAGCAGGTGTCTGGGGAATGGGGCTCCTCCCCGGTACAGACCGGAGTAGTTGTCTCTTAACCCCCTGAACTCAATGGGCTGACCTAAGCACACAGGGGGCAGGTCAAAGCCTCGCCCTCCTGAGCCCCCCATCCCTGCCTCTGTGCTCTGCCGTCTCCTCCCCCAGGGCTCTGAGACCCACTGCCAGCCCAGCCGCACCCTGGCAAAGCTCACTCCCTCCCCCTCTCCATCTCCCTACCCCCCAGAGGGTGTGCAGCCCACTCCCATGAAGCAAAGGCCATCACGCAGCCACACGCAGCACCCCAGACTTTGCAGGACCTCAGGCTTGCTGAGTCCTCTATTAAGCCAGGGGGCTCAGGAGCCTGGTGGAAAGAGCCACGTGCCCCTCCTCACACCTCGCTCCTCCAAAGCTTCTGTCTTTCGGACCTTGGCTGGAGGGCCCTGCTCTGGGGAGCACTAAATCAACCCCTACCTAGAGGGGGCTGCGTGCCCAGCTCCACATTCCAGCTGAGAAGCAAGATGAAGGAAGAAGCAAACACCTGCTGGTGTCACCCCTCCCGTGCCCACCCTCCCCACGGCATCACCCCGCCTGTGCCTGCCCTCCCCATGCCCGTGCCCGCCCTCTCCATGGTGTCACCGCACCCATGCCCGCATTCCCCACAGCATCACCCTGCCCCATGCCCGCCCTCCCCACGGTGTCACCCTGCCGAGCCCACACTCCCCAAGGCTCCAATGTGGGGTGCTGCAGTCCCCTCCTGGATGTCCGGACTCCAGCAAGGGCCTCCTCAAGGCCAAGCTCTGTGTTCTCCCAAGAAGAGACCTTGCTCACTTTGTCTGGATCAGTCTGCAGTGTATTCAGCGGCAAGGAACAGAAAATCCATCTAACTGTACCTAGAAAACAGACTTGGCTTTGGGCGCATCACCACGGCCTGGAGAGCATGGGCACAGCAGCCAAAGCAGGAAGGGGCTCCCCAGCCTGTGGCCCTTATGAGCGCATCTGGTAGCCAGGTCCTGCTGGCCTCCTCCGTCCTCTGTCCATCTGTCCATCAGGGTGCTCAGTGACCTGTCAGGGCCACTTGTGTTGCCTGTGACCCCATGAGGTCTGCAGCGGCAGCAGCCAGTCAGCCCAGGAGTGCCGCGTTCTGCACACAGACCTCCGTAAATGGAGACAGGCCTCTCCCTGCCCACTGCAAACCCTGAGCAAACCCCGCACCACCCCGATTCCCCAGGGTGTCCCCTGTCCCACAGAGCTGGTGGTTTCTATGGTGATTCGGCTTGAGCCAGCCTCAGGAGGCTGTGCTGCCCGGTGTGTGGGCAGATCCCCCCTGCAAGCCCCACGGAGGGCCCCTCCCGACGTGAGGGTCTGGGGGCCACACAGGGGTCTTTCCCACCGCAGCCTGCTGGCAGATTCGCAGCCCAGGCCCACCCAAATGAGAAAATTAATCAAAGGAAACCTCACTAAAACACAAGTCAGGAGCTCGGGCAGCGGGAGCTCTCACCCCCTCCTACTCTCATCATGTACAAATGCGATGGGAAGAGAGGAGCCTCCCCCGCCCTAGTGCTTTCCCTACTCCCTCACTCCCTGCTGGGCTGGAAGAGGGGAGCTTTCCTCCAGCCCTGGCAACAGCCCAGCCAATGAGAAGCCAGTACACTTCCAGCTCCCAGTTTAGCCCAATGGGCTTTCAGTTGACAACAGCCCCTCCCAGCTCCCCCCTCCTCTGGGAAAGCGCTTTGCTGTCCTTCGCTCTGCAAACCTGCGGTGTTTTGCTTGCCCCAGCTTGCAATTCTCCGCCCTTCCTCAGTAAACCCATTTTGGCTGGTAAAATGACTAGAAGTTTTATTTTCAAGGTTAACACATGCAGAAGCCCCACTTCTGCACTGGAATCGGGATCATGGCACCCCCCCCCACCCCCGCCCTTGGGAGGTTATGCGTGCTGGAGCCTGACACAGCTGTCCATCATCAAAGCAGCAAAAATGTTCAGCCTCCGCAGGAATCTAGAAGTGGGCATACAAGTCCGCATGGCGTTTGGGAGAGGCTGTTAGCAGCATGGGGGCGGGGGGCCGAAGCCAGCACACCCTTAGACCCCGTGGTTCCCCCAAAGAAGTCTGTCCTACAGACGCCAGAGCCGCTCCTCTGGACAGGCCTCCTGGGCAGTGCGTCGGCTCTGCTGGTGCCACCAGTGGGTGGCAGTAGGCACTTGGGTGAGGTCCCCTCTTCTAGACTGAAAGCAGGGGGCATGAGGCTTCCAAGAGCCGGGCTCGCCCATGGACAAGGAAGGACACGTCTGTCCCAGAGGCCAGTAGCTTAGGACAGGGAGAGGCTGCAGTTGATAGACCAGCCTCCGGGCCTCGTTCAGACTTCAGCGGTCCTCACCCCAGGGCACTGCAGGTACTCGAACCCCCAGAGGGTGCTCCTCAAGAGCCTAATGCTGGAAACTTCTGGAGCTGGTGGCCCTGCCGCTTGGATGCTGTCGAGAGTCTCCCTGGCCTTTGTCAATGTGCTTGGGAGCTGCTAAGAGGACAAGGAGCCCATGCAGCCCCGGGGCTGGCCCCTGGCCAGGCCTCAAGGCTGAATGGGCCGCTTCCCATCTGTGTGATCTTAGCAAGCCACATGCCCTCTCTGTGCGCAGTCCCCTGGCCCACAAAGCCAGAGAAAAGCAGAATCCGTCTCCTAGGCTCCGTGTGGAGGCCGACGGGTACTGGCTGCCAGGTGCTGGTGCTCTAGTGACAGGGGTTATGGTGGCGGTCCCTGCTTGGGCTCTCGGAGCTGTTCCGGCGGGGTGGGGGGGCGCGGGGTCCGGGCTCTCTCAAGCTCTCTTCCCCCTCCCAGCATTGAGTCTGCCCACTCACCCAGCTCCCTTCTCCTCCCCCACAACTGACCCCTGACATGGAAAGTACAAACAGGCTGAGGGACTCCTACCCAAGCTGTCTCACCACCCCCACCTCGAAACCAGCCCCTGGCGCCACCTCAGGGCCCTGTGCGTCCCCACCCAGTCCTAGCACTGGGGACAAGCTCAGGAAGAATGCTCTGCTCCGTCTTCTGGGCCCACAGGACCTGCCAGCTGGAACAAGGGGCCTGGGGGGAGGGCGCACGCAGACACTCCCTGGGCATCCCGCCCCTGCAGCCTCCATCCGCCCCATGGCGCTGGGACTTTTCCCGGTCTCCTGCCCACCATGGCCCCCCTGGGTCAGCTGCCATTGTCCACGCTCCCCCTCCAAGATTGAGTCCTGGGGTGGTTTCAGGACTTCCTCTCTCCCAAAACAGGAAGCAGGTGGCCGTGGTGCATATTCCCTGTCCTTGGTCTCTCTGTGGGAACCAAGGGTGAGGCATTGACCCAAAAGCAGGATGTTCCTGAGGATGGAGCTCGCTGAACCCTGGCCCTCTAGTGACTGCTGGGTCTGCAGAAGCTGATGGACCCAGAACCCACCTGGAACCTTCCAGAAGGAGAGGAGTCATGGGCTCCCACCTGAGAGCAGGTGAGGGGTCCTATGTGGTTCAGTGTTGCCTGACACTCAGGCCTCAGCCTCAGAGGACGCTCCTGGCACAGAGGCGTGTCCTGCCTGAGGATGCACCAGGGGAGCGGCTGGGCTCTGTGGTGGGGCTTCTGGGGCGGGAGGGGGGGTGCCTGGCTGCAGGGTCCCAGAGAATGGGGGGCAGGGGGGCGGGAATGGAGAAACACGGGAAAGCCTCCACATGGCTCCCCCTTCCCCCATGTCCTCATTCCTCCCAGAAAGAGCCTGAGCTGAGCAGTGAGTGTGGAGGTGCCTGTGCCAGGACTCAGTTCTCTTCCGGCTGCAGAGGACGCCACCTGGGGGGCCCAATCCCAGAAGCCCTGATCTGGGAGCATTCATTGATGAGCAAGCCTTGAAGGTGACAGCTGCAGGAAAGCCTTCCATCCATGCGGTCACACAACCCTATAGTCACCAAGTGAAGCCTCGCAGGCACCGCACAGCCTCTGGGCCCAGGCCGGGCCTGACAGTGAACTTACGCTGCAGGGAAGCAGGGGGACGGCCTGGGGGTCGAGCTTCCCCGGCCTGTTGCCACCTATGCAACCCCTGATAATTCACCTCCCAGAAGCCTGGCGGTGGGGCACCTGCATGGTGCAGTCGGTGGGCATCCAACTCTTGATCTCAGCTCAGGTCGTGAGTTCAGGCCCCGGGTTGGGCTCCGTGCTGGGTGTGGAGCCTAGTTAAAACTAAATATATATATATAGCCTGCCAGCAGATGAGCCTGGGGAAGGAGCCTACTTACCGCCTACCTTGTCACAAACTGTAGGCTCAAGGGGCCAGAGGTTAGCTTTTCCAGGTAAATGGGTGTGATCCGTAATTGAGGAACATGCCCACAGGTAAGGAACCAATGTTTCTTGGAAGAATATGAAACGTGATGGCCTGACTCTTGGGTCTCCTCCTTGCTCTGCGTCTGAAGCTTCACTGAGCCCCTGTGTGAGTCCCCACACCTGTGCTCTGGAGCAGCGGTTCTCGACCCCGGATGCCCAGAAGAATCATCTAGGGGCACTTTTAAATCATACCAATGTTAGGTGTCCACACCCCCCTGCCACGAGGTGGGATCCGGGTAGCAGTCTCTTAAGCTCTTCAGTGTTTCAGATGAACAGCTTGGGCTGAGCGCCACTGCCATCTGCTGCCCCAGAAACCTGAGTGACCATTAGGATCACAGGGAAGCCTCTACAATTATGCGTCACTAGGCTCAGCCCCACATATTGCTTCACCAGCTCTTGGGTGGCACCTGGAAAATAATTTTTTTAAGGATCCTAAGGTGATTCTAATTGACCGTTTTATGGTGGTCAAACAGCATCACATGCTCCAGAGATATTGTTCATGAAAAGAAGAGTCAGTCACTGTGGCAAACTTCATTGTTGTCTTAAGAACTTGCCAGTGCCGCGCCCCCCCCCCACCCCCCAGCTTCAGCAGCCACCACCCGGATGAGTCAGTAGCCACCAACATCGGGCAGAAAGATGGACTCGCTGAAAGCTCAGGTGACTGTTGGCATTTTTAGCAAGAGAGTATTTTTTTGTAACAAAGGCATGTACATCGTATTTTAGACATAATGCTGCTGCAGGCTTAATCGACTAGAGCGTGGTGTTAAGCATAACTCTGATTGCCACTGGGAAACCAAACGTTCATTTGACTCACCTCATTGCGTCGGTCTGGAGCCCCGCTGCCCTCACCCTCCCAGGCGTGCCTGTGCCTGATAAACATACTAATAAGGAGATGACATAGTATGTCAGAGACTGGAATGTGCTATGAAAAAAATTGCAGGGCAGAGCGGGGGAGTCCAGAGGTGGGGGAAGAGACCAACTGTGGTATTACAGAGACTGCTGCCCTCCCCAAATGCAGGCGGCACCTGTGACTTGTTTCAAAACCACAATATGGCAGAGGTGACAGGATGTCAGTCCTGCAGTTGGGTCACGTTGTATGTTGGTGACAGGAGGTCACTCCCATGGTTAGGCTGCCTTCTATGAGACTCCATCTGAGCAGACCGGGGAGAGAGGCTCTCTTGCTGGCCCTGAAGAAGCAAGCAACCATGTTGGGAACTGCCCATGGAGGGGGCCACGTGGCAGGGAATGGGGGGGCGACTAGGGCCCAAGGCCAGCCTCTAGCCAACAGCCAATAAGAAGTAGGCCCTCGGTAGCACAGCCCCCAGGAAACGCATCCTGCCAACAAGCAGGGGAGTGTGGAAGCGGATTCTTCCACAGCTGAGCCTCCAGCTGAGAACGCAGCCGGCTGATACCTGACTGCAGCCTGACACGACCAGGCAGAGGACAGCTGAGCCGTGTCTGGACGCCGGGATGCCTGTCCCACAGGAGCTCAGGTAACAAAGAGGTGTTGTTTTAAGCAGCTACGTTTGTGGGAAGCAGGAACTGAATACACATAGGAAGGCAGGTGGGCTCCACCGAGTTGCTGAGCTCTCAGTGGGCAGGAAGTGGGAGTGCGCCAGGCAGACAGCCAGGGAGGAGCGTCCCAGACGAGGGGGCACCAGTGCAACCGGACACAGGCCAAGTGCACGTGCCGAGTGTGAGGAGCAGTGAGGAGCAGTCCGGGGCTGGAGAGGAGTGAGGGAGGGGGCAGGAGCGAGGGAGGGGTGGCAGGGGCGAGGGAGGGGGACAAAGGCAGGAGGGAGGCGGGATGGGGAGAAGGAGGGTACGCAGGGGTGAAGGAAGGAGGACAGAGCGAGGGAGGGGGCGCAGGGGAGAGGAAGAGGCGCAGGGGTGACGGCGCAGGCGCGAGGGAGGGGAGGACGGGGCGGGCGGGGCGAGGGAGCGGGCGCAGAGCTGAGGGGCGGGGCCTGAGGGGCGGGCCTTCCGGCGGGGGCGGCGGTGCAAGGAGGCCCTTGCAGAAATGGAAACGAAAGCCGAGCCGGGCGGAGGCGTCCGCCGGCATACCACTGAGAGGCCCGGGGCCCCTCCTCCTAGAGCGGCGCCGGAAGGGGCGGGCCTCCCGGCGGGCGCCGCGACCCGGCTGCTCGGCTGGGCGGCTGCGGAACCCTGGCGCGGGGAGGCTGCGGCGGGGTTGGGCGAGGGTCCGTCTGTTCCCGGGCCCCCGACCTCCAGCTAGGGACTCGCCGGTTCCCTCCGGCGTCGCTTGGACCCGCGCCGCAGCCCAGGGCAGCGGCCTCCCCGCCTTCGCCTCCCGGGCGCTGCGGGGAGGAGGGCGAGGAGCAGCTCGGAGCGGATCGAGGTGAAGGCGGCGCCCCGGGGCCCTGCACGCTTGGCCGACGAGGCCCTGTCGTTGGCGGGGGCGCATCGTGCTGCCCGTCGGGGCCCCTTTCCTCGGCCTCGACACAGCTCGTGGTTGCTGGCAGGCGGGGGGCCCGGCGGACTGTTGGGGTGCATGTGTGCCTTTGGATCCAAACCCGCTAGTAATCCAGGCTCCCCGAGACCCAGGCTTCTGAAGGCGGGGGGACGGGCCAGCCTGAGTGGGGTTTCCAGGGACCCCGGCTGCGGGGGCTGCGCAGAGCTTGGAGTTCAGGAGGCCTGGCCCAGAGAGGAAAGGAGCTACTCCGAAGTTGCACCGCGGGCACAGCACCCCAGCTCTTGGGGCAGGTCGCTTGAGCGCCTGTGTGCTGCGGCAGGCACTCCCGTCTACGGGCCTGTGAAGTGGGGGACCAGGACCTCGGGTCTACTCCGTTTTTGACTGTTATAACTTGGTGTGCTCTCTGCCGTCAAGCACCTGCCAGCTTGAATTGGGTAGATGAGACGAAGATCTAGAATGATTCCTGAGCACCAGTTCGTGCTGGCTCTGGCCTCGTAGCTAGGGATGCAGGGATGAAATAGCCGTGGTCCTTGCCCTCAGTGCCGGTCCCGGCAGGAAGCGCAGAGGAACCCCACGCACGCCCTCCAGTGGGGGTGGGTACAGGGTTGAGGGTGCCTTCATAGAAGTTCTTGTTTTTCCTCGGTTTACTCCCGAAACTAGACACCAGCCTCTGACTCCAGCGTACTTGCCTGGTGCCGTGATCCTCTGCCCTCCCCAGCAGAGGGCCCTGCATGCTCCTCTCAGCCCAGATGAGCTTCCTTTACCCTCAGTTCAGGCTCCCACCTGATGCTGAGAGCGGCCTCCTCCCAGAACCTGCCTCAAGTAGAGCCTTCGGGGCGACATCGGCCTGAATCCAGACCAAGTGTACCTAAACCTTTTTATTTAGAAGCCAGACTCTCAAACTCCTTGTCAGGATGGGAAATCTCGACAGTCATTTTATTATTGCCTCTGCATGGGGGAGAAGAGGAAAGACCAAGTGTACCCTTTTGACTTTAAGAGAGTTCAAAGTATTTATACCTTAAAACCACTTGGGGGTGCCTGGCTGGCTCAGTCCGTGGAGCCTGCGACTCTTGATCTTGGGAGTCTTGAGTCAAGCCCCAAGTTGGGCATAGAGCTTACTTAAAAAAAAAAAAAGAAAAAAGCTACAGTGTTGTCATGTACAAGAGTCATAAAGATACCCAGATTAAAATGTTGATGGTAAATAAATGGGATGGAAAAGAAGATTCAAAGAAAACTACATCACTGGGAATATTACCACCTAGGGCATCACATTTTGGGGTGAGACAGCCTGTCAGGGTCATGGGCCTCCTAGTAGATCAGGGTAGCCATCACAGGCCCCAAGATACCTTTGCTAAGAGCGCTGTTTGCAGGGAATGTTGGAAGATCAGAACAGGACCTGCCTTTGGAGCTTTCTCTTTAAAAAAAGAAGGCTTCTCAGTGTTGTGGAGATCTCCCTCACTAGCAGTTAGAGTCTGAAGTTGCTCCAGGCTTGTTGCTGGAATTCCATTAGTTAGCAGTGAGAGAAGACAGGGCAAGGAAGCTCAGGAATAATACAGAAACGAAATAGAAGAGGGATCTCAATGAAGAACTAGGAGCTGTGTGGGTGATGCTCCTACAGACACCGGCGACTGTTGGGTCCTGTTCGAATTTGTGGCAGAATTGGGTGCTGTTAGGTGGAGTTAGGGACGGAACATCAGGTGTTTCAGAGGGTGTACACAAGATCTAGTTGATGGAGGAGTTGGCTCTGGTTAAGGGCCCCAGGGAAGACTAGAGCCCGGTTAGGGAACAGGGAGTGGGGGCAGTGTTTGGTGAGTCAGGGAGGCCTCCCTGAGAAGGGCCCATTCAGAGCTCTGAAGTAAGCAGCCAGCCCCATGAACACCTGCTCTTGGCCAATTTCTGGAATCAGCCAGGCACTGAGGCAGGAAAGACTGGGTATGTTTGAGGAGCCTAAAGGAAGCTGGAGGGGAGTGAGGAGTGGGCCAGGTCAGGCATGTATAGGGCTCATAAGTATGAGGGGAGCCACTGGGGGTCAGGGCAGGTACATGATAGGGGTTTGCTGGCTGCCATATGGAGGTGGACCATGGGAGGAGGGCTGGGGCGCCCCAAGTTTGATCCATCTCAGATCCAGGCTCTAGGTGACAGGAGCGTAACTCCCAAAGGGGTACATGTGGGTCCTGCAGCTCCAAAAGCACATCCTCTAGTCCCAAATACAGGAAGTGGAGAAGGAGGGAGAAAATGGTGGGGGGAAAAAAACCTCAATGTGGGGACCACACGGAGTTGTTGGTCCATGGTCTGTATCAGACCCCGCTGGACACAGGCCTGGAGACCCCATCCCTGGGAGAGGGTTAGAGCGAGTGTTCTGTTTGGTCATGTCCAAACAGAACACGCTGTTTGTTGAGCCTCATTGAGAGGCTCGTGAGGTGTCCAAGGGGAGCACACAAGCAGGGAAGGGGCCACGTTCCCTTGTCCGCCCCCCCCCATCCATGCCTTAGCCGCTGCACCACAGCTCTGTTCCTCCCGCACACCTCTGTGATCTAACCTTCGTGGTCTGGCTTCTCCGGCAGCACGAGGATTGGTGGTGTCCTCTCTGGTGTAGGCTTCCTGCTCCAGAGGTCTCGTTACAAGCTCAGAGAAATGAAGAGCTGTGACTAAAGTGAGAGCTTTCGGAAGAATAGGAGAGTCTGGCCCCTGGCCTTTCTCCTTAGCCCTTTCTGGATTCCAGTGGCCCTTCCTCTCTCCTGGGAACAAAGAAAGATGGAAAAGCCCTCGGGCAAAAAGAAGGCACAGACCCCAAAGGCAGAAGGAGATGGGCCAAAGCACACCCCCAAAGCAGAGAAAGCATCTGGGGAGAAAAAGGCAAGCAAGAGGTCCGCTTTGGCGAAAAAGCACAGCAAGGAAGCCAGCCTGAGTCCTGAGGAAGAAGGGCACGTATTTGATGCCTTTGACGCTTCGTTTAAAGATGACTTTGAGGGGGTTCCCGTGTTCATTCCTTTTCAGAGAAAGAAGCCCTTTAAATGCAGCGAGTGTGGACGCGTCTTCAAGCACAAG